GGTAAGGTATAGCCATTTCTTCTCTATCACTAGGGCTTAGCACAGTGACCTGGGAAAAGCAGGCATTTATGTATGTATAGAATAAGTCATCTAAAAATAAATAGATATATATATATTAGGGGAAATAACTTATACTTGGAATATTGTTTACTTAGAATTTCTGTTGCTCACCATTTTGCTAGTCTATACTTAAAATTCTCATCCACAGGTTCAGTCAATTTGCCCAGTATTTTCTTTTTCTTGTCAGCCTAAGAAATCAGTGCCCTTGAAAAATAAAGTTTTGCAGAAAACTCATTGGGAGGATGAATTTTATGTGGTTTTCTCACATACTTGAATTATATATTTTATTCTAGAGGCACCAGAAAGTCTCTGCTCACCTTTGCCTCCCACCACCCCTTTACTCTCTAACACTAGAAGGTCCTTAGGAGACTTGTCACCTGGGATGGAGGCTCTGGTCTTTCAGACAGGGTGCATTTGAGTCCCCCATTAACCACATTTTGTTGGGCAATATTTCCTTTCCTGTGTCTAGAACTCTAACAAAGCATCTATTTCAAGTGTTGAAAAGGAAGGGTATTTTCAAGGGAGGTCAGGTCATGGTCAGCACCAAGAGTTAACTTCATAATAGGAGACTCTTGAGGAATGATGTGAAAGGGAAAAATACACTGAAGAGAATGAGGTGGCTCCTCAAAGTCAAACATATTCCACTATAAATTTTCCTTTGATTTCCTCTGAGAACAAACTCTACTTGCCAGCCTATTTCATTAATCCTGGAGTCAGACTTTTGATACAATCTGTAATAATTGGGTGGGGAGTCTAGAGAACTAGAGATTTGAAATATGTGAGTCTCTTAATTTGGTACTTATGAGATATAATTATTTATTACTTTCCCTGTCCTTATGGATAGACACTCCTGGGAAATTCAGATACATTGGGCAATTTTCAGTCATGATAAAAAACATTAACATCAAAATTGTAGGTGCTATTCAATGTGGAGAAAGCAAAATCAGATGCTTCTTGACATTTCACTTTTTGTTTTTCTTATTCAGTGTACAACTTTTCTATGTTTTAGGTAGTTTGCAAAAAATAAATATAACATGGGAGGGGGTGAGAAGAAAAATGGGGAGAGGGCCATTAGACTATGGTGGAAGATTATTGATGTCTTTGTGGGTGTGGTGTGCCAATACAGTTCTGAAGAGGTAGGAATATATACCTGCAATTCACATGACTGCTATGTGGTTATCTTAATAAAGATGATACAATTCAACAAAAAATAGATAACACAAAAAGAAGAATGCTCTGAAGACTGAATGTAGCATAGTGCATAGAAAAGAAAAATACTTTTCTCATGGTCTCAGTTCCTTACTCTTAATATGCTTGTGCAATATAACTAGTTTTAAAGAGCCCCAAGAAATCTCAGTCGTAATTCAATTATATGGTTAAGGTTCTTAACACCAATGACTGAATTCAGGAGATTTAATATGGTTTAGGAATAGTTGAAATGAGCTAACCATTGAAATAAACTAGTAAATGATTTAATGTGTTGAATCATTTAATAGTTGAAATGAACTAGTGTGGTAGATTCCTTTCACGAGAATTTGAATTACATTTGTAGGAAAAGTTTCAGTAACTTCTGGACCTCACAGTTTTGCTAAGTTAGGAATTTTACCTTATACCCAGTGTATAACTGGGTAGAGAAAGGGATAACATCTAGTTACTCAAGGCAGTGAATCCTCCTGTCAGTTTCTTACACAATGGAATACTGTCACTTTTTCTCCTGTTTTAATTTTTACAAATATATGATATACACATTAAAGTGTATGAAGCAAAACTGCACATTTCACTTTGTGAAAATTCCCACTTATCTATCAATTGCACCAAGAGACAGAACATTAGGGACCTTCAGAATTCCCTCCTGTACTCTTTCTGTGTCTATTGCCCTTCAATGATAAAACATTATTGCAGTTTATGACAACATAGATTAATTTGAGCTATTTTTAAACTTTATTGAAAGAACTTTATATGCAGTGAATACTTTTTTTGTCCAACATAAAATTTGTAAAAACTGTTTTATCAGGGTTAATTATGAAAAAAATTGTTTATTGTAGAAAGGTAATTTAAATTTTTGTCTTTGTAGAATCCTAGGTTGGATTTCTGTAATGCCAAACTCTTTTGGGTACTCAATTTCAAATTAGTTGATTGCATTCCTTAAACTTATGTGACTGGTATATTACTTAGTTGAACATCTTGACAAGTCTCCCCTATCCATCTTTCTTATGCTGACTATATAAGTCTTAACATGCATGAAAATTCAGATACCTAGATATAAATAAAAATTACAATCTCTAAGTACTGAAATGGAATTGGGATATCAAAACCATAATAAGTTCTTTAATCTCTGTTTCCTATCAGATACCCGAAGAGAAGTTCCTTCCAAAATCAATGAGTGAGACAAATTATTCTCGGGTGACCGAATTTGTGTTGCTGGGACTCTCCAGCTCCAAGGAGCTGCAGCCCTTACTGTTTGTCATATTTTCACTACTCTACCTGGCAATACTGCTGGGCAACTTTCTCATCATCCTCACTGTGAATTCAGATTCGCGCCTGCACACCCCCATGTACTTCCTGCTTGCCAACCTCTCTTTCATAGATATGTGTGTTGCCTCATTTGCTACCCCCAAAATGCTTTCAGACTTACTGGTGGAACACAAGACCATTTCTTTTGATGCCTGCTTGGCTCAGATTTTCTTTGTTCACCTTTTCACTGGCGGTGAAATGGTGCTCCTTGTGTCTATGGCTTATGACCGCTATGTGGCTATATGCAAACCTCTCCACTACATGACGATCATGAGCCGCCGCGTGTGTATTATTCTCGTCCTCATCTCCTGGTTTGTTGGTTTCGTCCATACTACTAGCCAGTTAGCATTTACTATTAACTTGCCATTCTGTGGCCCGAATGAGGTCGATAGTTTTTTCTGTGACCTCCCTCTAGTGACCAAGCTGGCCTGTCTAGACACTTACGTTATCAGCCTACTCATCGTTGCTGACAGTGGCTTTCTCTCCTTGAGTTCCTTCCTCCTCTTGGTTGTCTCCTACACTGTGATACTTATCACAGTTAGGAATCGCTCTGCAGCTAGCATGGCAAAGGCTCGCTCCACGCTGACTGCCCACATTACTGTGGTCATACTCTTCTTTGGACCGTGCATCTTCATCTATGTGTGGCCCTTCAGCAGTTATTCAGTTGACAAAGTCCTTGCTGTGTTCTACACCATCTTTACTCCCATTTTGAACCCTGCAATCTATACTCTGAGGAACAAAGAAATGAAGACAGCTATGTCAAAACTGAAGAGTCGGTATTTAAAGCCTGGCCAGGTTTCTGCAGTCATAAGAAATGTTCTTTCCCTGGGAGCCAAGTAAACTTACAGAATTGTCATCACTGTAGCCTTGCCTGTGTTCAGTTACCAATGGAATAATTGTGATGGGAAAGCATATCATTTTAACTAGTGGGAAGGGTTGATTAACTTGAATTAAAGATAATGGTGACAGGCCCTTCCTGGTGGCATAGTGGGTTAAAGCACATCACTAAGAGCTACAGCCACTTCAGCGTGAGTTCTATCCCTGCCAGGGAGGTGATCCACATGGCTGGCAGACCTCTCCTGACCCGCTCGCTGCTCCTCTCATCATGTGTCTTGTCAGTTGACTTGTTCTGCTTCCCACTCTGTCTCTGGTGAATCCTCTCACCGCCCCTGCACCTCTGGCCTGTACCTCAGTCCTGTATGCATAAATAAATAAATCTTTGAAAAGTTTAAAAAAAAAGATAATCATGATAGTAAAAAGCACAAACAACCTCAGAAATTATACTTGTCTTCCTTTCATTGTTTTAGGTGTCCTATCCTTTCTTAACTTTTAAAATAAAGATAAAGGCTTATGTCTTTGAATTCAATGACACAATGTCATTTATTTATAAATATTCTGGGCCTTCTGTTGGGGAAATGGATTCTTCACACTCAACTATGCAAATAAGTCAATATATTTTCAAATGCAAAGAATAGTAATGTGCTGTTATTGTTTTGCCTCGTTTTCTGCTCACTCTCACAGAAGAATATTGTGAATACTGTCCTGACTTCTTTTTTGATGATTCCCAATATTTCTAGTTTCAAATTATTCCTATCCCAAGTTCATTCTAATGTGCAAACTTCCCTATTTCTTACTTTATATGAACAAGGACATCCATTTGGAGGAAGGAATTCATGATAAATAATACATTATGTAGATTCACTAGTAAAGCCAAACACAAAAGGGGCAATGCTAACTCCTAGGGTTCTGGAGAAGAGCACTGCATTTCCAACAAAGCATGGTTTGTCCTCTCTGAAAAACTGACCTGAGCATTGCTGCTTGCTCTTATTCAATACTGAGTTCCTAGCCACAAGCTACCAAGTGACATCATTTTTTTTTAAAATTTATTTATTTGTGCATACAGAACTGGGGTACAGGCTCAGGGGCGGCGAGAGGCTTCACCAGAGACAGAGTGGGGAGCAGAACAGGCAGATTGACGAAGTACACTGCTGAGGGGAGCAGCGGGCGGGCCAGGAGAGGTCTGCCATGCCATGTGGTCACCTCCGGGGCAGGCGGGGATCGAACTCAGGTGGAAGCGGCTTTAGCTTCTCAGTGCAGTGCTTTAGCCCACTGCACCACCAGGGAGGGCCCCAAGTGACATAATTTTAAAAAGCCCAAACTTCTATTAGTCAAGCACTAAACCATCATAAATTATAAATTATAACTGTTTACCCATCTAGATTTAGACAGAAGCAGAAACCTGCATGAGTAGGTAATCCTGGCATCTATGTAACCAATTTCTGTCATATCAGTACCCTTTCTTCTGCTCAAAATTATGGGATAAGAGTGTTTGCCATAACTCATTGACTGAAGAAGAAAGACTCAGATTTGGTCTGCACAAAGTACCTTGGTACACTTTAGTCAGTGTCACAGTGGGTGACTGCCACATGCACGTCCCACTCAAGGTGAACAGCATTCACATTGTTGAGGGGAAATCTTTTTAGTGAGAACAGTTGTGAATATTTTCTTTGACTGTTAACTTTAGATGGAAAATTGACCTTAGGTTAAAATAAACATGAATTTGGGCCCTCCCTGGTGGTGCAGCACTAAGCAGCTAACGCCACTTCAGCATGAGTTTGACCCACCTAGCGCGGCAGACCTCTCCTGACCCGCCCACTGTTCCCCTCAGCAGTGTACTTTTCTCAGTTGGCCTGTTCTGCTCCCCACTCTGTCTCTGGTGAGAATCCTCTCACTGCCCCCGCACCTCTGGCCTATACTCCAGTTCTTTATGCATCAATAAATAAATCTTTATAAATAACTAAATAAATAAACACGAATTTCTGGATAATGGAAATGATTTGGCTGCTATATTAGGGGCCACAGAAGAATAATATTGGAAAACAAGGAAAGGGAAAGAGTATGGGAAGAAAAATGAGGGCAGGACTATGTGGATGAACATGCTTGTGAATCCTAATTGTGATGTCAGTGTTAACTAAACAGCATTCTCCACAGAAAGGTAATCAAGATAGAAGAAAGAACCATCTGTCAGCTAATGTTTATTCTATACCACATTAGTGCTTATATAGTGGGGGAAATTAACTAGCCATGAAAGCTGGAATTTAGCCTATGGATATGCCTCCAACACATTGGATTCCCTTTCAATAAGACTGATTTCACTGCTGCCACAGCAACCTTAAAACTTTACTTGTAAACAGAAGAGGTTGATGCTGAGCAATTAACATTACATCAGTTAAATTCCTTCGCAGAGGTGGTAGTAACTTATCCTTACTAGAATTGATTTTGACTACAAATACAAATTTTCCATTTATGGTTACAATCCTTTTCCTGTTATACAATGCTAAATCCATGGCAAAGGGAACTGGCAAGTTAGGAAATTACTATGTAAATTCTAATTAGTGTTAGTTTTATCAAGAAAGGGTGTTTAATTTTATCTACTGTTAGTAATATACCTATTAAGAGGCTCTGTGCTTTTTTAGTGAATTAATTAACAAAATGTTCATATAGTATGTTTACTTTTGATATAATGTTGGCTAAATCTTAAAGGCTGAATTCTCACTTGATTATATTCTATTATTTGCAAATACTCCACTCTATAATATGAATTAATGTTATATTTAGAATCTTTGTATCTCTGTTGTATCATACCTAAGTATGCAAAAAATTGAGGATCACTACAATAAGCACACTTTTATTCATAAGAGATTAATTTAGAGTAGTGAACCATTAAAATGTACTACCAAAGTGGTTAAATGTATGAGTATTTTCATAGATATCTTTCCTATATTAAATAATTTTACTCAATACCTAGAGAATACTTCTCCCAGTGTGGTGTGGTAAGTTTAGGGTAGAGAAAGCAAATTGGAATTAAGATAACTAGTTTAAATGATAACAAAGTAGCTTTAATATAGTTAAATACATTGTTTTAAATTTCTATGTTAATCACATTAACTTTTAGTCCATAAACTTTGCCCTAAATTTAGAAAAAATTTCATGATGGAATGACACTTTTGCCTTTGATAAAAGAAATTACTTTTAATCATAGCTGAAGAGCACACTTACACCAGCTCAAAGTACTGGATTTATTTCTATTTCCCTCTTTAATCCATCTGAAATCTCCTTGAATTAGAATATGAACCACATAGGAATCTGAAACAATTTCTAGCATGCTGTGTAAAGAACAGATAGGACATCACTTTAACCACTGTTATTAATTCCTTCTCTATAGAGTCACTCCCCAAAGACGACTGCCATGAAAGTAATAGGGCTCTTATTATAATTGTTCATTTGATTCTATCTAGATCATCAGACTATGGAGTGAGTCTCTAATTGTTATGTGTTACTTTTCCCATTTATATAAAAAAAGAGATGCAGAGGGCAAATCCAAGAGTGTTCATAACTGATTTCTTGATCCTATAATGTTTCTACTCCTAAAATTCATGTTAGCAGTTCATGAATTTCCATAACACTGCATGGAACTTGATTACATTTGGTTTTTGAGATCAGTGACTAGATTTCATTCATGTGGAAAATGGCATCCAACCACATGGTATTTTCTGATACCCATCTTGTGTCTTCAGGTAAGGTGAACCTCACATGATTCTGAATCCTGTTTTCCTTTGCCACTTTTTCTTTTTTTATATAGCTTTAGATCTACCAATGTATGTATTCTGAAAGCCATGTTCCTCCAGTATTTATTTCAAGGTTTTATGTAAGAATTTATTAAAAAAATATTATGTTCAAGATTTACTAGAACTCTTATTAAAGAGGCTTGTCAAGTCCTTTTTTGTATTCCTACGCTGTATATTCCTACATTGTATATTTTTCCCTTGGGAAAAATAAACAATAAAATAGAACAATGAGTCCCCAAAAGCATAAGAATGGATCAAGAAGATGTGGGAAGATACACATTAATTCAATAAAACTTTAACTGGTATAAGTATTATTCCATTACTTTTATAGCCTAGAAAAAATTAATTTTTTCATACTTTGCAAGCTTGAGAATGGCCTTTGTGACATATCTTTAGGAATGATATTTATTTGATGAAAATATCTATTAAGAATTTTATATCAACTATAATCACAATGAAGAACAGCAAAGATTAAGAAATCAGGATGTTATGAAGGACAATATTAAATTGATATAAAGGACAGTATAGAGCTTGGTTCTTCTTAATTAGTAAAATGTGGCAGACTGTCAGTTATTTCTTTTTGTATTTTTTATAATTTTCACTTTTTATGTATTTTTTTAAAAATCATACTTCATTTTTATACAATGTATGACTTTTGATCTCAGTTGTAGCCCCTGTGGAATTTCAGTTATTAAGATTAACCCTCTTTTCATATGAGTTGTCTCTTATTTGTAGCATTTCTTTGAATACCCCTAATGCTATTCTTTTATTTGAAATTATTCTGACATTTATTTTCCCATTGTTTATAGCAGCATTAGTTTCTTTTTTTTAGTTTTTTAAAATATATTAAAATGATAAATAAAAGTATGTGTGTTCCTTTAAAATTTGATTTTTCTATAACTAATTTAAAGTTTCCTAATTGGTAATACCAGTGGTTTCCTTTATATATTTTAATATATTTTTCTATTTGTTCTATATTAAAAATTTTGCTGTTTATATTCTAGTGTTTAATTCAATATGGCATTTTTGTTTAGATCAAAGCTTTAGGGTTATTTATTACATAGGTAGTATTTAAACATTAAAAATTATTAGACACATCACACATTGATATTTTAGATATATTTATTTTGTTCTTACTCCTCCGCAACATCACACATTGATATTTTAGATGTATTTATTTTGTTCTTACTCCTCTTGAATTCATGGAGCACATTGGATATTGAAGTTCTTTAGCTGGTTTTCAAAGGTTAGCTTTTAAGTTTGTCTTTATTTCGTTCTTATTTTGGTTTTTCTGTATCCCATGTATTTGTGACACCATTGGTTATTAACCTTTCTCCTCTTGAATTATTTTAGTAGAAATATCTCTTCCAACTTGTCCATTTTGCTGAAAATGGCATGAGTTTCTTTGTTTTGGTGGCTGAGTAGCATTTCTTTGTGGATATATATACCACATCTTCTTGATCCATCCTTATGCTTTTGGGGACTCATTGTTCTATTTTATTGTTTATTTTTCCCAAGTTTATTGAGATATGCTTAACAAAAGAACTTTTTATATATTTAATTGTACAAGGAGAGGATTTGATATACTTATATATTGTAATATTATTACCATAATTAAAAATTAATATATTTATAATCACATAGTCATTTTACTTTTTTCTCACTTTGGATATAAGATGAAAAAGTTCTGGACATCTACAGTCCAGCATGGTTGTGATATTTGCTGTCTTTACACAGCAATTTATTCACAATTCAGCTTGCAAGTCTCGATGCTATGAAATGCCAAATCCAAACAAAAATTATAATTTTATTTGTAAATTTAATTATTTTTGTAGATTAAGGCTTCAACACTATATATGACTACTGTTTTAAATTTTCATTATTTTTTTTTATTCTGAAAGGCTATAATTTTCCAAAATAAAGTTACTGTTTCTATATGTGAATTTTTTTTTAAGATTTTATTTATTCATGCAGAACTGGGGTACAGGCCAGAGATGCGGAGGGTGAGAGGATTCACCAGAGACAGTGCAGGGAGCAGAGCAGGCAGATCTACAAAGTACACTGCTGAGGAGAGCAGCGGGCGGGTCAGGAGAGATCTGCCACGCCATGTGGATCACTTCTGGGGCAGGAGGGAATCAAACTCATGCAGAAGTGGCTTAAGTTTCTTAGTGTTGTGCTTTAACCCGCTGCGCCACCAGAGAGGGCCCTTTATATGTGAATTTTAATGATGGTTGCATTATCAAAAAGACAATAAAATATACTATGGAAAGGTAAAAACAAGTCAAGACTGTGTAAGATTCTTATCCAAACTATAAATTGCTTCTGAATAGGTACAGAAACTTTTTATTATTTAACAGAGTAAGTCAAGATTCATCTGAAACAATGACTCTCAAACTTGTTGACTTCAGGAACTCTTCAAAATCTTAAAACTCATCAAGGATACCAAACAGGGTTTATATGAGTTGTAACTATTCCATATTTGCCATTTAGGAATTGAAACAAAGAATGGTTATACATAAATTCATTTTAAGTAACAATTATAAACTGATCATGTTAACATGTCAACTTAAAAGTAACAGCTTTTAGCAAAACAACAAAAATTAGTTAAGAGTTGTTTTTTTCGTAATTTTTTTTTGCAAATCTTTTTAATGTTTACCTTTTTAGAAGATTGTTGGATGCTTGTGTCTACTTCTTCAGTTTGTTGTGAAATCGCACATTGCATAGGATGGAAGACTCCATTTAATAGTCCAGAAAAATAGAAGTGACTAAAGTGAATCAAATCTTAGTAAAGGTTCCCTTACTAAGTCAAAGTGAAGCAGTCCTATGAAATGTTTTGGAAGCCAAAATAGCATAAAGTAAAGCAACAAGTACCATTAATTTATATGGAAACATTTGAGTATTACAAGATTCCCAAAGTAGCCTGATATCATACCAAATAAACACACAAACCATAAAACAACACAAATATATTATAAAAGCAGGAATGAAATAATACATACAGAGCCTCAACAGTTCCTTGGGAGGAGGCTCAGTTATGTCACTGCAGCTGCCTGGGGAACAAGGCTGCCGCTCTAGCCACTCTCTGAGGCAATTTTTGTCTTTTTTCATGAAAGTGAAAATCCTCTTCAGAGTCTTTTTTTATTAAGGGAACATTGATTTACAGTACTATGTAAGCCAGAGGCATGGGATCACACAGATTTCTTTGGTTACTGAAAATAGACACTGATGTATGTCATCATAAAAGTGAAGAGGTAGATTTGATTAGAAAAGTGGGAATATCTGTATTGTTATGGAAATAATTTTGACCTAGATGCCCTGAACATTTCAATGACCAAATTGTGCAATACTTCAAGAGCCATGATTGTATACTATCAGCTAGGCGTTTTTGTTCTTTTTCATGTAAAATAACTGAGAGCTGAAACTTTATGCTTCAAACTGACATATTAAGGAGACTTATTAAATATCACCACTCCCTCATGTTATATTAATGTTTTGAAGGGCTCAGTGATGATGATAATTGAGAATGCCAAATCTTAACCACCAGACCACCAGGGAAAATTGAAAACATGCTTCCAAAGAATTCAAATTACAATGTTAAGGAATTAATTTAGACAAAAGATTATTAGCAATTCCCCATAACCTAATACAATAAAACTGCAACTACCTTGCATACATTATTTAAATCTATAAAAAATTAACCTCAAATTAGTTTGACATATTATCTCACAAATAGAGCAGTTAATATGGAACAACATTCTCTTCACTCTCTTCGTATGTGAACAAACACTGAAGTATGTCTTGTCTGTATTTATTCCACTCCTTGTTCACTCATTGCTGGAAGTTATGTATTATTGTACATACTTATTGGCGGTCAATACCAACTAAGTTTGATTATAAATCTCAGGGTAACAGAAAAATTTGACTTTTTGGCTTAAATACAGAAAAGAGCTATGTGTTCCTAAAGTTACGTGCATGGATTATGGTATGTTGTTATTTATATACATTCAGAATGATGTGACCCTCAGCAAAGCACTTTCCTACAAAATAATACTGAGTAATATCTTGGAAAGCCATTTCTAATGTAGAAATCTGTTGTTTTTGCAACTTCAAAAACAAATAAATATTCCAACATAAATAACTGCTCTAGTTTTGTGAGTAAATTCATCCTTTTAGGCTTCTCTTACACCTGGGAGATTCAAATCCTCCTCTTCTCACTCTTCTCTATCATCTATGCCTTGACCCTAACTGGAAACCTATGCATCATCTGCGCTGTGATGTGGAACCACAGGCTCCAAAATCCAATGTACATCCTGCTGGCCAATTTTTCATTCCTGGAGATCTGGTACGTCACTTCCACAGACACTAAGATGTTAGCCAGCCTTCTCTCCAAGACCAGCACCATCGCCTTCTCCGGCTGCTTCCTCCAGTTCTACTTCTTCTCCATGGGCACCACCGAGACCTTCTGTCGGCCATGGCCTTTGACAGGTACCTGGCTATCTGCAGGCCCCTGCACTACCCCACCATCATGACAGCCCAGTGCTGCATCAGAATGGGAGCTGGCTCTGCGGTTTCTCCTTTTTCCTCTTCCCAGTTTACCTCATCTCCCAGTGAAAGACCAAACTGCCATGACAGGCTTCAGAATGCTTCTGAACCAGCCAGGCCTAAGTTTCGGTTATCAACAAGATGCCAAGGCAGAATTTAACTGTAAATGTCCTAATCTTGCTCATCCCCTAGCAACAGCCAATTAGCAAGTAGGCAAGTAACCAGTACCTATCAGGAAAACACCAGATGTCCTAAGGTATGTGGGAGTAGTGAAGGTCACATCTTACCAGGTTAAAGCAAGATAACTTTGTTCAATGTACTGCTGAGATAAAACTCCCCCTCTGCTTGGCTGAAACTCCCCTCTTCTGTAAAAAAAACCCTGCCTTCCCTGAGCTCAGGGCTCTCAATTTCGGCTGCTGCGTCACTGCAGGTTGGGAGCCCAGGCTTGAGCTTGCAATAAAGACCCTCGTGTGCTTTGCATTGGAATTGGCTCCTTGGTGGTCTTTGGGAAACTTGAAACCTGGCACAACACCAGCTGCCCTTTTGTGGCCCCAATATCATTGATCACTTTCTGTGTGACCCCGGACCTCTTATAAAACTGTCCTGCGTGCCAGCTCCTGGCACCGAGATCACCTGTGCCATCTTTAACTCAGTCCTCAACTTCTCCACCTTCTTCTTCATCACCCTGGTGATCAGGGCCGTGCTGAAGGTCCCCTCAGCAGAAGGCCGGCGCAAGGCCTTCTCCACATGTGGCTCCCACCTGGCCATGGTGTCCCTGTTCTATGGCTTTGTCGTGGTTGTTTATGTGAGCCCTACAGCAGGCAACCCAGAAGGGATCCAGAAAATTGTGACTTTGTTCTACTCCGTATTAACTCCTCTTTTTAACCCCTTGATCTACAGCTTGGGAACAAGGAGATGAAGGAGGCTCTGAGGAAATTATTCAACACTATGAGATTTAGTCAGAAGTATGGAAGAAATCTTTAAAGATCTTGTGGTCATGACTAAAATAATGTAATTGAAATAAATAATTCAAAGACTGATTTTTAATTGTATTAACTGAAACAGAATAAGTAATTTCTTTTGGTAGGGGGAATCAATAGTTATTGTAATAAATTGCTTATTAAATCACTTTTCATCTCTTTAGTTTTTATTATTAGAGAAATTTGTATCAGTGCAAAATTTTTCAAATTTACGTGTAGATTTTTAAAAAGATTATTTATCCTGCTGGCATTCAGATATGAGACTAATATCTTACTACTATTATCACATACACACAAGTCAATCTTCCCATATTTTACAATTATTACTAACATTTCACAGTCCAAAAGTTATGTCAACTTTCATAACCAAATTTAAATGTTTATTCTTGACCTAATATTAAAAACATTACATGCTGTATTCACTTATATATGAAAACTGATTTATCATAATTTTACTGCTTCCTACTTTCTCACAAAGTCTAGATAACTTATTAAATTTTAATATATATTTACTTATAAGAATTGTTTTTAGAATGAATCATGTATTGCTTTTTCCTGATATACTTGTTATTCTTTTCATTTTGACTTTAGTTATCTTACTAGTTGAGAAGTGATATTTTACTGTTTTTTCTTTCTCCTTAATGACCAGTGATATATTTATGTATTTATTGGCTGTTTATATGTTTTTGTTTATATGTATATATAAAATCCCCTGTATCATTTTTAACTTTGGATTTTATACTTTAATTGTTGTGTTGTAAGAGATGCTAATATATTTTAGATATGTCTTTCAGATATTTTAGATATATAATTTGAAAATATTTTCCCCCCAATTTTTTATTTTCTTGAACTTGCCTTTAAAGTTTTGAATTTTGATGAAATACAATTTATCATCCTTTTGTGTTTCTTGCACTTCTGGTGTCATGTATAGAAACCACTGCTTAATCCATGACTATGAAATTACTTGTATGGGTATCTACATTATTATTTAACATAGAAGACTTTTGTAATTTTTGAATTAATTTGATTATTTTTAATAGGAATTTGTCACAACAGGAATTATATATAAGTTTCAAATATCTACTGTGAAATAAAAGTTCCTTATTTGAAGCTGGTACAGCAAAAAAATCTAGAAAAAGTTTTAAAGTCTATAGAAGAGGAAAAATTTTAAAAAGCAGTGTGAAATCCTACAGAATCATGGTCTCAATAAGTGGTCATGGAGGGAAAACTTCATGACTATTTCAAAAGTCTTAAAATTGTATTCTGTCATTTTCTCAACCTGTATTAGACAAGACAAAATAAAAATTTAAATGACTAAAATTTCATCTCAAAGTATGACTATTTCTATCATGCAATGGTATGAAAAACTATCTTGTCTAAGAACACAGGAATCATGAAGACCTAGGATGAAAGAGGATATTCTGTACTAAATTCAAGCTGTCAACTCATCTCTGAAACTCTCCAGATTATTTAATCAGTATTGAGCAGAAATTAGCATGATGAATACCTGACATTTAGTAAAGAGATTTTCAGTGAGCTGTTTTTCTTAAATAACATATATTAAGCAGTTAGATAGAGAAGGATTTATGTTGAATACAAATTCTTTTCCTAGGTAGTCATGCCATTTTAAATTTTGTTATACCATTAACATCAATCACAGTATTTTCTATATGTGCTGTAATTAGAGTATAATTGGAACTGCATTCTTATCTGTGTATTATTATATATTGTAGATGATAAATGTGGCTAGATTTTTTATCTCTATGGAATAAATAAATGTAATTATTATTACTCCAAAATTGGCATTTGACCAGTGCTTCTGAGAGAGGGCAACTTATTTGATACTTTTAACAGTAAATGTCTTCAAAGCCTATATCTTAAAAAGTTTTCAAGAGAAATTAAAAGCAGAATATGGCAACACAGGGAGAAAAACACATTCATGGAGGAAATGATTATTTAAATCAGTTATAATTCACTCTATGACATTTTATTATCACTGTAACTCTTTAATTCTGGTTACTCAATCAACACTTCCTCTGGTTAAAATGATATGCTTTCCCATCACAATGATTCCACTGGTAACTGAACACAGGCAAGGCTACAGTGATGACAATTCTGTAAGTTTACTTTGCTTCCAGAAAAAGAACATTTCTTATGACTGCGGAAACCTGGCCAGGCTTTAGATACCGACTCTTCAGTTTTGACATAGCTGACTTCATTTCTTTGTTCCTAAGAGTATAGATGGCAGGGTTCAAAATGGGAGTAAAGATGGTGTAGAACACAGCAAGGACTTTGTCAACTGAATAGCCACTGAAGGGCCACACATAGATGAAAATGCACGGTCCAAAGAAGAGTATGACCACAGTAATGTGGGCAGTCAGCGTGGAGCGAGCCTTTGCCATGCTGGCTGAGGAGCGATTCCTAACTGTGATAAGTATCACAGTGTAGGAGACAACCAAGAAGAGGAAGGTACTCATAGAGAGGAAGCCACTGTCAGCAACGATGAGTATGCTGATAACATAAGTGTCTATGCAGGCCAGCTTGGTCACTAAAGGGAGGTCACAGAAAAAGCTATCGACCTCATTCGGGCCACAGAACGGCAAGTTAACAGTAAATGCCAACTGGCTGAGAGTATGCACTAAACCGACCAACCATGGAATGAGGACGAGAATAATACACACGCGGCGACTCATGATCGTCATGTAGTGGAGAGGTTTGCATATAGCCACATAGCGGTCATAAGCCATAGACACAAGAAGCACCATTTCACCGCCAGCAAATAAATGAACACAGAAAATCTGAGTCATGCAAGCTTCAAAAGAAATGGTCTTGCTTTCCACCAGTAAGTCCACAAGCATTTTGGGGGTAGCAAATGAGGCAACACACATATCTATGAAAGAGAGGTTGGCAAGCAGGAAATACATGGGGGTGTGCAGACGCGAATCTGAAGTCACAGTGAGGATGATGAGAAAGTTGCCCAGCAGTATTGCCAGGTAGAGTAGTGAAAATATGACAAACAGTAAGGGCTGCAGCTCCTTGGAGCTGGAGAATCCCAGCAACACAAATTCGGTCACCCGAGAATAATTTGCCTCACTCATTGACTTTGGAATGAATTTATCTTCAGTTACCTGAGTTAGAGGAAAAACTAAGATCAATATGAGTTAACTGAGCATGGTTTTGATGTCTCAATTCTGCCTCGGTTTTAAGAATTGCAGTTTTTATTCAAAAATATATTAAAGTTAGAAATAAATATTAAATCAAATACCTGAGAAGTTGTTTGACATGTCTGAAATCTAACATCATTTTCTTCAGAGACAAAATGTCATTTTATCTTCACTAAGTAAAATAAACACTTTTACTAAGAGGAAGCGGTGTGAACTGCTTCTAGAAGGTAACAAGCATTCACAAAATCAACATATTAGGCATATACCCTGGTATTAACTTAAATGAAGTTTAAAGCAGACATATTAATATACAGTATTAAAAGTGAGGACAGTGGTTAACCCTGGAAGGAGAAAAGAGAATAGAAGGGACTTTGGAGAGACTTTTGGTATCCTAGGAATACTGTGTTTCTTTATTCAGCTTATAGGGTGCATAAGAAGGAATCTTTTTCCTTTCTCTTTATGGGTTCTAATGACCCTCTCTGCTTTAGTATTTAAACTCTCATCTCACTTCTATTAAGAACATTTCTAGCATTGGCTTCTTTAAAAATTATCTTTTCCACAAATCAGTATTAGTGGAAAGATAATTACACACTTTATATCACAAATGAGATTTACTTAATAAATGAGTATTTATTTCCACCTTTGCATTTTCCCCCTTACACTGAAGTTTATGAGTATAACAGGAAATAAGTTTAATTCTCATCTTTTCTCCAAAGAAAGCATAGTAGTGAAGGATAAGCATCTAGTATTCCCTGTGTGTCACAGAGTAGCCCTGTACCTCAGGAAGATCTCTTCAATTGGTTCCTCTGTTTTTTTTTTTTTTAAGAAGTCATTTTTTTTAGATGTATTTATTTATGCATACAGAACTGGGGTACAGGCCAGAGGTGCAGGGGCAGTGAGAGGATTCACCAGAGACAGAGTGGGGAGCAGAACAGGTCGACTGACAAAGTACACTGCTGAGGGGAGCAGTGGGCGGGTCAGGAGAGGTCTGCTATGCCATGTGGGTCACTTCCGGGGCTAGGGATCGAACTCACACTGAAGCCACTGCAGCTGGCTTGCAGTGCTGCATTCTAACCTGCTGGGCCACCAGGGAGGGCCCTGACACCTCTGTTTTTAAGAATGTAAGATGAAGAAGTTTATCAGTCAAAGTTCTAAGCTTCTCTGTAATATAAATTCATTATTTTTTGGTAATTCACTATGTAAAAATTTAAATGCTTACAGCACTGTGCTAGGCACAGCTGAAAGAGCTGTAAGGTTTGTAACTCTTCCCCCTAAAGATAATTTTACTATCATTATATCTTACTCATTTAGAGAAGATCATGGGTTCTCTTTTCCCTTCACTTTCTAGCACATTTTCTCCTAGAGGAAACAAAACTAATTTTACTACTTAATAAAAGTACTTTTTTACCCAATAAAATCACATAATGGAAGTTAATCTATTAGAAAATATTTTATGTTATGAGGAGAATAATATTACCTTAAAGAGACAGCAAAAGTATTTTTTTGTATAGATCATGAATCTTTAACTAATCTAGTGATTACACATATGTAAGCTTCTTAATGTATTATTCACATCAAAATAATTATTTTACGTCTTACAATTTATACCTATTCAAAATGGTGTGCTTAACCTACAGAAGAATAAGTTCCTACTACTAGATGCTCTTCAGAAAATGTAATAGTTCATTTTTTGTGTGTAATATTTTAGAGTGAATTCTTGCAGAAAATTTTGCCAAGTGACTTGAAGGTCCCTACTACTCCTATTTTTTCAAAAGTCTTTTCCCAATAATTTTTATCTCTGAAAATTATACCTGGTTGGTAATATAAAGTGGGTATGAATATAATTTGCAGGTGCCACTATTACCTTAAGAATTCAATTAAGGGCCCTCCCTGGTGGTGCAGCGGGTTAAAGCACAGCACTAAGAAGCTTAAGCCACTTCCTCATGAGTTCGATCCCTGCCTGACCCGGAGGTACCACATGGTGTGGCAGACCTCTCCTGACCCGCCCGCTGCTCCCCTCAGCAGTGTACTTCGTCGATCTGCCTGTTCTGCTCCCCGCTCTGTCTCTGGTGAAGACTCTCCCGCCCCTAAACCTCTGGCCTGTAACCCACTTCCATACGCACAAATAAATAAATCTTAAAAAAAAAAAAGAATTCAATTAAAACATGCAGAAATCCTCTTTCATTGACTGCTCTTCCCACCCCATTTCTAGTTGCTCCTCACAGTCACCATGGACAGGAGACCACAGCTGGTACATGAGCCTTAGTAAGAAACCACAAAATATGGCCTCTGAATGAGCTAAAAATGAACAGTTTGCACACCAACTTTAGTCTATTGGCATCCAGAAACAGACAGGGATTTGTATCTGATTTTCAGACGCAGGCTGCCATGGATAACACTGAGTTGGCCCTGAGAATGTGAGTCAGAAGCCAGGTGTGTGTACCTTAAAGGAGGAAATAATTAGAGGATGTCTGTACCTGGGATAGACTTGTCCTCAAAGAAATGTAACACAGCTGGCTGCAGTATCCAAAGGAAGCCCTTGCTGGTGCGGGAGCACTTGAGGTTCTCAGGAATCTGAAAGAGGGAAAGGAATTGATAAAATCAAAGAGGCAAAGAAATGCCGGAGATAAATTTATAAATGGTATAGTTCAGCCTAATTGTTGCAATACTGTTTCTGGTTATGTTAGCAGTAAAAGGAGAAATATGTAAGCAATCACAATAACTTGCTGAGATCTCAAAATTAAAATCAGTAACATTTTACAAAATGTAAAGAGAATTGATTCTTGATCTATGTATCAGTGAAATGTCCTAGAAAAGTGTACCTTCCAATTTAAACTCCAGAAAAATGAATGGAATTTATTAAACAGTTACAGAACTGACTTTAAGGGGGAAATTTAGAAAGCTTCTTCTTAGAAGTCTTCCTCACCTTATCAGAGAAATTTTTAGTAATGTTTACCAAAAGCACTCCAAAATATCTTTTAGAAAGAAAAACGGTAGTCAGCGCCTATAATTTAGTTTCTGTATAGTTCCTGAATGTTAGGAAATTTTGTCATTTTCTCAAAATAACATTTAGAAAAGTTTGCAGAATCACTGACTAAAGGGCAAATGGAGAGAATCCAAGTTTTCCCAGGTAGCAGTCTAACCCTTTACACTCTCTGAAGCATCACTGGTCTCAGCAAATAGATGAAAGGAAATCTATGCCAGTAATTGGAAACTACTTGGAAATTTGTCATCGATAGAGTATAGTGATCAATATAAATGATTATATATGTGCACAGGTTTTAACAGGGACTGATACGGAGTGACAATGAGAGTTAGAAAGAAAATTTGCAAGTTAGATAAAGTAGTGTTGTCATTCATTATTCCATTGTGCAGGTTTCTTTTTTCCCTGTAGGAATTAAAAACAAAACAAAAGACTATCTTATCTTTAAAAAGGAGTTTCTGAATAATATTGTACAACATCCATCTTTCCAATACTTAATGAAAAACACAATTGTCAATTTTCATATTTCAAAGTAAATAACTAGAATATTCTCCACATTAGCTTCCCTACTATTAACAAAGATGCTACAGGTTATCAATATAAAATTTTATTTTTTCTTACTAATTAGAAATAAAGCTATGAATTTGAATAGTAGTAAAGTTGAACAGTGTTATTCTATGTACGTTAGTGAAGATGAATATATGTGTTTCACTAATTAGCTTATATAATAGAACTAGGGAATCTCCAGTACTATTCTCCTTTCTAAATGTTGAAGTGCAGAGGTAGTTATGTAATGGAACATGTAGAGCTTAGAAAAGTAAGTTGAATTTCTTGGACTATTCTTAGAATGCCAAGCAGTTTATTGATTAATGAATGATATGCCACATTTTCATTGCCACTCTACCTCAGACATAAAAATCTTTCAGATCACAAAATATACCAGAGATTTCTTTACCTCCTGAATTAAGATTAAGTTTAATACCTAGCAAACAAATCTTATATTTATATCTCTCTCTAAAATGTAAGAATGAAACTCTGGAAATGTAAACATGTATAGTTATTCTTGTCCATAATTTATCTTGTAAAATGTGATTTCCTATAAGAATATATACACAAAGCAATAAAGGACACCCAGTTCAACATTACTCTGCATTGCACAGCAATTCCTGTCTTAATTTCAGTCAAATTTTAATAGTTGACATCTATGGATTTAAAAAGTATCTAAATATCCTATAAATAGAAAGCAAAAAGGGTCAGAGAAGGAACAGCTAATATTTGAAACATCTCTCTCTTCATCAGATTCTAATCCTATTCTGATCACGTTGCTCCTAATAAGCGATGCAGTGGGGAAGTTATATCATTTAGACAGAGAAGAGGACAACAGAAATTTTCTTCATCCAGATGGGATTTCCAATTTGACTGAGATATAATGAACCTTTTTACTGAATTCTAGCTGTCAAAGTTTGCATCTAGGAAATAGCTTACTTATAACTTCTCTTTTCTAAGCAAATGTTCAAAATATATTTAAAATACTTACATATTCTAGTAATGATTCCTGTCTTTTGTTCTTTAAATCTTCTAAACTTCCACTCACCTGTGAATTTTCATACTCAATATAATTTTTTCAATATACTCTTGGCATGGTGCATTTTACTGTAGTCCCTGCACTAAAATGTGCTAAGCCCTTATGTGCTGCCTTAATATAACAAGAGCTCTGCTACTATTTCCCTCAAACTTAAAACTGCAGTATTCTAAGACAAGACAAATAAAGACTTCTACCCTGATGTTGGGGAGCATATCTTTATAGATACGTGAGCAATCATTCTTTAGAGATCTGTTAAGTCAACTCTGCAATGGGAGTAATTACATTTTCCCATTGTGTATTCTTGATATTCTTGCCGAAGATTAGTTGATTGTATGAGTTTATTTCTAGGTTCTCTAGTCCATGCCATTGGTCGATATGTCTGTTGTTAGGCTAGAAAATTCATACTGTTTTGGTAACTGCAGGTTTGCACTATATTTTGAAGTCAGGAAGGGTGATGTCCCAGCTTAATTATTTTTGTTGAAAGTTGTTTTGAGATATTGGAGCATTTTTTAGTTGTATGTGGATTTTAGGATAACTTTTAAATGTAATTTGGATTCTGATAGGGATTGCATTGAGTTTATAGACTGTTTTGTATAGTATAAAAATGTTTATAATATTAATTGTATCAATTCATTTACATGGATGTCTTTCCATTTATTTGAACTACTCTAGTTTCTATTACCAGTGCTTTATAGTTTCAGTGTACACATTCTTTATTTCCTTAATTAAGTTTATTTCTAAATATTTTGTTTGAAGTATTTTGCTTTTGATATTTTAAGCAATACACTTTTGAAGTAAGGTTTCTCTTGTCCTCACTTTCAATCATGTGTATGTGCATATGTACATACAGATACACTAAAATTTCACCAGCATCCATTGTATGTTAAGCACTATTTTTAAGACTACCAAGAAATATGTGAATAAGCACAATATATCCCTAACACACAGAACAAGAATTGCAAACTGTTTTTATATCATGTCAGATAATAACTATTTAGATTTTATGAGGTATATGTGGTTTCTGGTAAATATTACTCCTGTTTTGCTTTAACATCCCATTGCAAAATGGGAAAATTTGTTCTTAACTGTGGATTATAAATTTCAGATTATGAGCCAGATTTGGCCCCTAAGGCCATAATTGGGGAATCTCTGTCACAGACCAAAAATGGTAATGGAGGGAATATAAAAACTGTATACCAGCAAACAATAAATGCTGAATAAGAAAACATCGTAAACAACACATACATCATTTTAATCATCTTCTAAGATTTATCATGCGATTGTGCTCCCCCCACCCCTGTCCTTGGCAATTACTGATTTATTTTCTGGCAGTTTAGTTTGAATTTGAATGTTTGTGTATGTTGCTGATTTTTACTGTGGTAACTTTGTTTTACAACACTCTATATGATTTAGGGGTATAGGTTCAGACCTCTTCAGATGGCTGTTACCACACCGTCCACATCACCAACAAGACACTCATTGCTCTGTCTTTGACACTTTCTCCTCTTTCACTGGTAACCTCAGTTCTACTGTCATGATTTCCAGGGTTTGGTTTTTGTTGGCTTTGTGTGGTCCTTTGCTTATTTCCTGTATGTTCCACACTTGAGAAAAACATCTAATTTTTTTCTTTCTACTTTATTTCACTTAGCACAATCCCTACTAGTTGCAGCCACACTGTCACAAATGATAGAGGTTGATGAGTTTCCTGTATGCAATAAAATGTCGGACTTTGTTTTCTGAATCATTTGGGTACTCTGTACTTATGATTGGTGAATTCAGTTCATCAACATTTGGGATAATTATTGAGAAAAAAGTATTTATTCTACTTCACTGTTTTGGAGTGTTTTGTAATTTTCTTTTGTTTTTCTCATATTCTCTTTTCTTGTGTATTGACATCTTTCTTTGTGTTATGTTTAAATCCCCTTTCCAATGTCTTATGTGTTTCTCCAATGGATTTTTGATTTGAAATGATGGAGTTTATGTGCAAGAAAGTTCGACACTTAGAAAAAGGCATATGAAAAAATGTTCAACTTCATCAAGCACCAGGGAAAAGCATATCAAAGCCACAATGAGATACTACCTCACACCAGTGAGAATGGTCCATGTTAAAAGAAAGAAACAGCAAATGCTGATGAGAGTATAGTGAAAAAGGCACACTCTCACACTTCTGGTAGGAATGCAAACTGGTTCAGTCACTATCAAAAGCTGTGTGGAGACTCCTCAAATTATTAAAAATGGATCTACCATATGACCCAGCAATTTCACTCCTGGAAATCCACCTAAAGAACGCAAAAACACTAATTTGAAAGGAAGCCTGCATTCCTATGTTTATTGCAGCACCATTTTTAATAGTCAAGATATGAAAACAACCTAAATGCCCTAAAAAAGATGAATGGGTCAGGAAGCTGTGATATAGAAATAAATTGGAATGCTACTCAGCAATGAAAAAAGATAAGCTCATGCCATTTATGGCTACAAGAATTGGAACTGGAAGGAACTTTGCTATGCAAAATAAGTTGGAAGGGTATGGTTTGACGTATATGTGGAATATAGAGAAACTGAACAAAAGATCAAGAAAAAGACAAAACTTGGAGTTTGACCATAGATCTGAGGCATACAGCAGGGAAGGAGAGGGGGGCAACACAGGGGGAGGAAGAGCACAAGAGAATATGGTGATGAAGCACAGGTGATATGGCAGTGGGAAAATAACAAGGACTACATCTGAGGAGAGAAATCATTACTGTACCAGATAAACAATGTGCCACAAGGGTTAAAGTCTCAGCATTACCAAGTTATCACCAGCCACTGTAGCATGAGTTGAATCCCTGCCCAGGGAGCTGACCCACATGGCACGGCAGACCTCTCCTGTCTTGCCTGCTGCTCCCTTCAGCAGTGTATTTCAGTAGACCCATCTGTTCTGCTCCACACTCTGCCTCTAGTGAATCCTTTCACCTCCTGCCCCACACACCTCTGGTTTACACCCCAATTCTTGTATGCGATAATAAATAAAAATAAACCTTTAAAAAAAGAAAAGTGAGAGAACTAAGAGGATTACTCCTGAAAGGAGAAACCACTACCATACAAAAATGAATGCTATTTTTAAATAAATTAATTTAAAACAGGTGATTACTCATTTTTTGTCCTTTTATTCTACATAAGATGTTGCAATTATTAAATGTTGGGGCATTAGCAATCGTTCTTTTTTATTGTGAGTTACATCCCATTCTTTATTAGTTTTATATTGCTGCCACAATAAATTACCATAAGCCTAGAGGCTTTAACAACTAATATCTTTAAAGTCTGTCGGTATGAAGTGCAATATGGGACTTATCTGGTGAAAGTAAAAGTGTATGCAGGGGTGTGTACTATTCTCAAATCTCCAGGGGAGAACCGATTAGCTTACATTTTCTAAGTTCTAGAAGCCATCAGAAATATTTGACTATTGAACTACTTCCTCTGTCTTCAAAGAAAGAAATGTTGCACCTGTGCTCTTTCTCTCCATTCTCTATAGCTGGCAAGGTTCTCCATAAGGACCTGCCTCATTTGGTAGGGCTCACCAGGAAAATTTTCCCATCTCCAGTTCCACATCTTAGATAAGAACTGCAAATTCTTCTGTTAAGTAGGGTAATACAGTTATAGGTTCTGGGGTTAGGAAGTGGGTATATATTGTGGTAACATTAGTCAGTTTGTTATATTCTATTCTAAGGGACAAATCCTAGGAAAGTGAAAATATATGTCATGTCCAGAATATAATAACTTAATAATGGACACAAGTCAAATGTCTCTTAATGGTAGCAAACAAAAAGTAGTATTTCCATACAAAAGGATGTTGTTAAATAATAAAGAGGAATGCCATTTTATATATGTTATAAATCTTGTAAACACCATGCATTGTAAGAGAACCTTATATGATTTCATTTATATGAAATATCCAGAATCCATAAACCCAAGAAACAAAATGTAGATTTGTGTTTTCCAAGGTATTGGGAGAGAAGATTATTATTCATCTATTACTTCATTGAAAATTTTCAATGAAGGTAATGAAGTATTAATGTTCTTCAAGAAATTGCAGAGACAAATCTAATAATTTTGTAATTCGACCATTCCCTTGAAGTCACTGGTCACTGCCTTCTAACCAGAAGAAGACACAAAATGGCAACTGAGAAAAGCAAGTACATTCTACATTCTAATTACAGCTCTTTCTAAGAAAATTCTTAAAGTGAATATATAATGGAAAAAATATAGGCAGCCATCTAGATATGAGTCCTAAGAGTATTGAATCTTGGTGAGAAGATGGAAAGAAAAGAAACTATTATAAATCAACTTTCAGAAAGAAATAGGTCACTACATTGGGTCATGTTTTACTATTGATGCAGGACCTGATATTTAAATACTGCTTTGTAAGTTTAGCATATATAACATTTGATTCAATAAGGAAACTTAGAAAAGACATATGCATATGTCTGTATAATTAAGACACCAAAATTTAACTGATATAGATCCTGATGCCAGCAAAATAAGCAATATTTTCTTCATCTGAAAAAAATTTAAAATTAAGGTAAATTTTTATTACTAATAAAATATTATGACATGGAATTTTTATTACTAATAAAATATTAGGACAAGCAATTATATTTGAGTATGTTCTTGTCAAAAAATACTTTGCTAATTCAGTTAAAACAAATAGCAACCCTTTAATTATTTATTTTCCATACATTATTTTACATATGAACACAAGATTTTCAAAGATTTCTTCCATTCTTTTGACTAACTCTCACAGCATTGAATAATTTCCTCAGAGCCTCCTTCATCTCCTTATTCCGGAGGCTGTAGATCAAGGGGTTAAAAAGAGGAGTTAATACGGAATAGAATAAAGTCACATATTTCTGGATCCCTGCTGGGTTGCCTGATGTAGGGCTCACATAAACAAGCATGATGGAGCCATAGAACAGAGACACCACGGCCAGGTGGGAGCAACATGTGGAGAAGGCCTTGCGCCGGCCTTCTGCTGAGGGGACCCTCAGCACGGCCCTGATCACCAGGGTGTAGGAGCTGGTGATAAAGAGGAAGGTGGAGAAGATGAGAACTGAGTTAAAGATGGCACAGGTGATCTCGGTGCCGGGAGCTGGCACACAGGACAATTTTATAAGAGGTCCGGGGTCACACAGGAAGTGATCAATGATATTGGGGCCACAAAAGGGCAGCTGGGAGATAAGGTAAATAGGCAAGAGGAAGTACATGAAGCCACAGAGCCAGCAGCCAGCTCCCATTCTGATGCAGCGCTGGGCTGTCATGAGGGTGGGGTAGTGCAGGGGCCTGCAGATGGCCAGGTACCTGTCAAAGGCCATGGCAGACAAGCAGAAAGTCTCTGTGGTGCCCATGGAGAAGAAGAAGTAGAACTGGAGGAAGCAGCCCGAGAAGGAGATGGTGCTGTTCTTGGAGAGAAGGCTGGTTAACATCTTAGGGACTGTGGAAGTGACGTACCAGATCTCCAGGAATGAAAAATTGGCCAGCAGGATGTACATTGGAGTTTGGAGCCTGTGGTCCCACGTCACAGCGCAGATGATGCACAGGTTTCCAAGTAGTGTCAGAATATATGTTCCAGAAAAGACTGAAAAGAGGAGAATCTGTATCTCCCAGGTGTAAGAGAAGCCTAAAAGGATGAATTTACTCACAAAACTAGAGCAGTTATTTATGTTGGAATATTTATTTGTTTTTGAAGCTGCAAAAACAACAGATTTCCACATTAGAAGTAGCTTTACAAAAGTGGGCCTCCCTGGTAGCCTAGGGGTTAAATCTCAGCTCTATCATATCTATGAGCTGAGTTTGGTCCAGGCCAGCTTACTGACACATGGCGCTGTGGACCTCTCCTGTCTACCCCACTGCTCCTCTCAGCAGTGTATTTCAGTAGATCTGCCTGTTCTGTTCCCCATTTTGTCTCTGGTGAATCCTCTTACTCTCAGCCTCTCTGGCCTGCACCCAGTTCTTTTTTGCAAAAATAAATAAATAAAAAAAATATTTTTTAAAGATTTATTTATTTGTGCATACAGAACTGGGGTACAGGCCAGAAACTCAGGGGCGGCGAGAGGCTTCACCAGAGACAGAGCAGGGAGCAGAACAGGCAGATGGACGAAGTACACTGCTGAGGGGAGCAGCGGGCGGGTCAGGAGAGGTCTGCTGCGCCATGTGGTCACCTCCAGGGCAGGCGGGAATCGAACACACGCGGAAGTGGCTTTAGATTCTCAGTGCTGTGCTTTAACCCGCTGCGCCACCAGGGAGGGCCCTAAATAAATAAAATATTTTAATAAAAGTACAGATAACATATTTTTAAAAAGAAGTTCCTTTATAATATATTACTCAATATTTTTCAGTAGGAAATGTACATTGCTTAGGGTTATATCACTCGACACACTGACAAATAGCAACATACTATAATCCAAGCAGATATCCTCAGGTGTGCATAGCTCTTTTCTACATATAAGAAATAAAAGTAGAAACTTTCCTGTCCCTGAGGTTTACAATGAAACTGAGTTGGTACTGACCATCAACAAGTGTGTACATAAAACACAACTTGGTTCAAGCTAGGAAATAATAAGAGGTGAATAGAGGCAAGAGATACCTCAGTGTTTTTTCACACACAAAGAGAGTAAAGAGAATGCTGTTCCAAATTATCTGCTCAGTGTGAAAGAAATATGTCAAAGTAATTTGAGGATAATATCCAATACAATTAAGTAATGTATGCAAGATACTTGTAGTTTTATTGTATTAGGTTCTGGGAAATTGCTGATACTATTTTGTTTAAATTGATGCTTTAACAGTATAGTACAAATTTTTGAAAATGTTTTCAATCATCATCATCACTGAACCTTTCAAAAAATTAACATAACATGAGAGTTAGTGGGTGATAGTAATAAGTCTCCTCAGTAGTGCATATCAGTTTGAAGTATAAGGTTTCAACTCTAGGGTACTTTATATAAAAAAGGACAAATACGCCAAGCTGATTTTCTCAGTAGTAATCACTTAAAGCATTGCCCAGGTTGGGCACTAAAAATTTTCAGAGCATCAAGGTCAAAATTATTTCCATATTAATACAAGTTATCTTCCATTTGTCTAATCAAATCTACTACACTTTTATGATGACATACAGTAGTGTCTATTTTCAGCAACCAAAGGAAATCTATGTGATCCCATGCCTCTGGATCACATAGTGTTATAAATTAATGTTACCTTAGTAATAATAACAAGAAAAAATCTCTGAAGAGGATTTTCACTTTCATGACAAAAAGTAAAAACTGCCTTCAGAGTGTGGCTATAAAGGAAACCACGTGCCCCAGGCAGCTGCAGTGGCATCACTGAGCTCCCTCCCCAGAAACTGCGTGAAGCCGTGTATGTATTATTTAATTCCTGCTTTTACAATATATTCGTGTTATTTTATGGTTTGTGAATTACTTGGGATCATATGCAGCCTACTTGGTAAGTCTAGGAATACACAAAATTGTTCTATATAAACAATATATAGAATATATATGTTCAATGGTACTTATTTTACTTTATGCTGTTTTTACTTAGGAAATGTTTAATAGGACTGCTTCGTTTTGAAATGGGAAGGGAAACCTGTTACTTAAGATCTGATGCATTCTGGTCACTTTCATTAAAAAAAATATTAAATGGAGTCTTCCAGACTGTGTGATGGGTAATTTCACTACAAACTGAAGAAGCAGATGCAAGCATCCAACAACCTTCTAATAAGGTAAACAATAAAGGGATTTGCAAAAAATTACAATTCTATGTCTATACTCTAGAGTTCATATAGATTTGACTGCTGTAGAATCTCCTTCCACACCAACACTGGTGTTTATTGTCCTTCAACACCAGAAAGAGCTCTTTCTCTCTCTTCCTCCCACAACTTTCTGTGTACATCCTCATTTCCCTTTTGTTTCTCCACTACAACTGGTTACATAAGAAAGCAAAATCTATATTTCACTATATAAAGAGATGGAATGGATTTTTGTAAATATTTTCTATTCAAAATATTGATGTGTGATATGTGTCTATTAAATTTTTTCTAATTTTAGAAATAACCCTGATCTTTGATATACACAAAAATGTTATATTGAAAAATACACTAAAATATGAACAGCAGAAATTTAAATATAGAATAAATAGAAAAATATATTGAAATATATAAGGGAAACCACTGATATTACCAATTAGGAAACTTCAAACTATTCATAGGCAAATCAAATATTAAAGGAACTGACGTAAGTTTAACTATAATTTTAATATTAATTTTTAAGAGCTTCTAAAAAATGAATAAGCTATGAATAATGGGAAAATGTTAAAATAATTCCAAATTAAAGAATAGCATTCAGATTTTTCAAAATGCTACAAATAAATAAGAGACAAATCACATATCAGGAAAGTAGGTTAATGTTAATCACTGTCTCCAAATATAAAAAGAATAGCTGACAAGCTACCATGTATCTCAAGAAAGTTCAGGACCAAGCTCTATATTGTCCTTTATATCAACCTAGTACTGTCCTTCCTAACACATTCATTTCTGAATCTATGTGATGCTATTCTTTAATGATTATAATTGATATAAAATTCTGTAATAGTTACTTTCATCAAATAAATATCATTTATTTCTTAATCAGTTATCAATCTATGTGATGCTGTTCTTCACTATGATTGTAGTTAATATAAAATTCCTTAATTTTCATAAAATAAATATCATTAATAAAAATATGGCAAATTGCTGATGTTCAGAAAGGCTATTCTCAAAATTTGTACCCAAAGTCTGAAAAGAATTAAATTTGTCTTCAAGGCCATAAAAATAACAGAAGGAATATACAGTATACCAGTATACCAGTTTTATTGAAGGAATATATATCTTCTTGTGTTATAAGTTCATTTATATATAGTTTAAGAATACAGAGGAGGGACTCACAAACTTCAAGAGTTTTAGTAAATTTCTAAAGTAGCATTTTTCTCACAAAAAATCTTGGCATTGACCCTTGGAGAAACAATGATTTCATAATTCACATATTGATAAGATATAAAACTGCAAAGAAATGGCAGAAGGAAACAGGGTTGAGGGTCATGTGAGGTTCATCTTACCTGAAGACACAAGATGGGTCTCAGAAAATGTCATGTGGTTGGGTACCACTTTCCACACCAATAAAATCTAGTCTCAGATCTCAAAAAACTAAATGTAATCAAGTTTCATGCAGTATTTTGGAAATCATGAACTTCTAAGTTGAATTGTAGGAACAAGAATTTATGATCAAGAAATCAGTCATGAACACTCTTAGATTTATCCTCTGCCACTCTCTTGTTTATATAAATGGAGAAAGAAAAAAAAAAACACCCAACACAATATCTTAACAATTACAAAGAGACTCATAGTCTCATAATCTAGATAGAGTCAAATGAACGATTAAAATAGAAGCCGTATTACTTTCCTGACAGTCATCTTTGGGGAGTGACTCTCTAGAGAAGGAATTTATAACACTCTTTAAAGGTGGTTAAACTGACATCGTATCTGTTCTTCACACAGCATGTTAGAATTTTTTTTCAGATTCCTATACAGTTCATTTTCTAATTCAAGAGTTTTCATGTGGATTAAAGAGGGAAATAGAGACAAATCCGGTGCTTTGAGCAGTTATAAGTGTGTTCTTCAGCTATGATTAAAAATAATTTCTCTTGGGCCCTCCCTGGTGACATAATTGTTTAAGGATACAGCACTGCAAGCTAGCCTCAGTCGCTTCAGCACAAGTTCAATCCTCGCCCCGTCTGGTGGTTACCACATGGCAAGGCAGACCTCTCCTGGCCGGCCCTGCTGCTCCCCTCAGCAGAGGACTTCCTCAATCTGCCTTTCTGCCCCCACTCTGTCTCTGGTGAATCCTTTCACTGCCCCTGAACTTCTGGCTTGTACCCCAGGTCTGTATGCATAAATAAATAAATAAAAATACATACATATATACAAATACATATATACATACATATATACATAAAATCTCTCTTATCAAAATACAAAACTGTAATTCCATCACGAAATTGTTTCTACTCTTAGGGTAAAGTTTATGGAAAACAGGTTAACATGATTTTCATAGAGATTAAAAACAATGCATTTAATGACATTAAAACTCCTTTGTTATATGATTTAGACTAGTTATCTTAATCCCAATTTGTTTATCTTATCCTAAACTCATCACATCACTACAGTAGAGAGCAATTCTCTAGCTTTGAGTGAAACCATTTCACAGATAGGAAAGCTATCTGTGAAAATACTCATATAACCATTTTGATAATGCATTTTAATGGTTCAATACTCTTAACATTTTATGAATAAGAATGTGCATAATGTAATGATCCTCAAATTTTGCCTATTTTGGTATGATAGTCAGAGGTATACAGATTTTAAATATAACATTAACCCACATTATAGAGTGGAATATTTTCAAATAATAGAATATGATCAAGTGAAAATTCATCCTTTAAGATGTATCCAACATTGTATCATATGTAAACATAGCACAAATTTTGTCATATTAATTCATAGAAAAAAGTGCTTGACCCCTTTAGTAGATTCATTGAAAAGTGGAGGATTTGAGTCTGTCAGGTATGAAAAGCTTACAAGGATGCATTTACTCACAAAAAGAGCAATTACTTACATTGGAATATTTATATATTTAGGTATTACTGGTTTACAACATTATATATGAGTTGAAGATGTAAGTGTTGT